TATTGTGGTGTGAACGTTTTTTATGTGGACAAATATAAGTAGTATGTAGGAGGAAATGGAAATAGAACGCTTCCAACAGACAACTGAAATAAAGAGAACAAAGAAGAAAAGAGTGAGTAGTCAGAATAACAAGCAGAATGAAGGAGTACGCAAGGGACAACTTAAGAAAGATGTGCAAATAATGTATTCAATGTATGATTTTATTATTTTAGAAAGGACCCATTAAATAAAATATTGCTTTACCTTGCCTGAGTTTTCGTTCACTACAACATGACTAGTAACATTAGAAATTATATTTCTTTCATTTATCTTAAAACTAGTTAAGCTATGACTTCCTTGATGGTCTAAAATAGTCATGAAGTAGATAGGATTACATCCTTGTATTTCGATTATGGTAAGTCTGAAATTCTATTACCTCTCAAACATTTTACTCTCTCCTTCTCTCTCTGCAAACAAGATCCTACCCTTATTGTTAGAAAATCAAATACATCATACCATGATAAAAATCTGATGATCAATATTACTCCATTTATCTCTGAGACTAATTGCTTCAAGCATATTTAATAGATGTATTGATAAAGTATATACACATGATTAAATTAGTATATAATTCACTGACTATATTAGGTTGTGTTTATAAAATTAAAATAGGCAATACACAGAGTATGCACATATGCCAATTAGAGACTGACCAGTTACAGTGCTAAACATTAATGAGAAGATTCAAGCAAACAATACTGTGTGAATTTAAACTTCATCCCATTGTACAAGCAAGTGGTTATCAGGACTCTGTAGCTGAGTGGGTAATGCAATGGTGTTTGAATCGAAAGGCAATGGGTTCTAGTCCCAGAGTGAACATCAACTCTGAGATGCAGGTACATACATCTGACGAGTCTAAAATAGGAAGAAACGTGCGTCCTGGATTCCACTGCTAGCCACTATCCATTTTTCTTAGAATGCTTGAGGATTAAGGCATTTTCAAAACAATACGCACACTATGCACATAATCCAATTAGAGACCGACTAGTTGCAGTCCTAATCATCAATAGGAAGATTCAAACAAACAATACTAAGTGAGTTTGAAATAGTTTTAGTTATATAACATTTCACCATACCTCATTTTTATTATTGTTGTTGTTGTTTTACAGTTCTCTTTTATATTAAAAGTCAAATGTAATCAAATAAAATCAAAAGAGATACATGTTTATGATTAAAATTTCAGATTCTTTAGATTTGCGAGTAAATAAATAATTTTCTCACAGTTGAAATCATGGGTCAATCGAAACTAGACCACCATGGAAAATGGCCGTTTCGTCCTATTATGGCACTCCTCAGTAATGCGCATCCACGATTCCGTCTCCCGAGATTCGAACTCCGGACCTACTAGTCACGCGCCAGAGCATTTAATCGATAGACCACTGAACGGTGTTAATGTCTAACTTCGACCAACTTTACATTGACATAGAAAATAAATGATCAATTTAACTAGATATTTCAATGTAAAACTAAAACTTAGAAAACACACGAAAATAGGAAACTATTTATCAAATATCAAGATAAAAAGTAAATTATTTTTTAGTTTCTTGTAACTAATTAATAACAGAAGAGGGTATTAATAGAGATAGTTGAATTCATGAGTCAATTGAGAAGTCCCATATCAAAAAAACAGCCGTCAATTGCCCTCAAGCTTTCCATAGTGATCCAGTTTCAATTGTGCACTACTAGAAAGAATTGGAAACGATTTCGCAGAAAAGAGTTAGATGAGGATTGCTGGTAGGTGGCCGATGCTTTTCCACGTGAGGTAACAGACGTAAGTAAGTAAGCATTGCTTTAATTGACCAGTAAATTCAACTATGCAGAAGGTTTTGACCACCTAGTGTTAAAAGTCATACACACACCCACACGGGTGCCTATCATCTCTACTAAAACGATTCAAGATATCTTCACAATTGAAATTACCATTGATATTTGAAAATTTCATTCTAATCCTTTTCTTTCTCATCTTGTCTCTTGTCAATTATCAAAAGTAAAGTTGTACTCATTACGCTTTATTTATTAATAATAAGATTAAATTATTATCTAATTGCATAAATGTAAAAAAACAGGGTAGTAACAACACCGATAGAATAATGATTGTTTCCATGAGACATAATTTTCATCATTTGCTTTTCATAATATACCAACATTCATACCCGAAAAAAACTAGAAAGTATTTAGTAATCAATGATTATACTCAAATAGAAATTTTTGTATAATAATGTGTAACCACCGACTTATTGTTTTGTTCTTAATTCATATTATTATTATGAATATCAATAGTAATATTGTGGTGAGTGCTATTTATCTCGATATAAGTAGTATATAACGATAGTCAGTAATAGAATGTTTGACAGAATAATGTAGAGAAGATAGAGAAGGAAAGAATGGCAACAGATAGCAATTGATATGAAAATGTAAGAACAATGAAGCTTAAAACAATTCATTGACATTTTGAAATGATGTATTTACTGTATGGTTCTCAGATTTTAGGAAGATATTCTGTTAGCATTCTCGTTCTTACTTACTTGCTTAATCCTATTACCCCCTAATGGGACATAGGCCGTCGAACGGCATTATCCAATCCACTTCGTCCTGAGCCTTCTTTAACAGTTCTATCCAATTCTTGTTCATTCTTCTCATATCTGTCTTCTTAGGTATTCCTCTTCTCCTTTGACCTTCAGGATTCCATGTGAGGGCTCATCTTGTGATGCAGTTCGGTGATTTCCTCAAAGTGTGTCCTATCCACTTCCAGCGCTTCTTCCTGATTTCTTCCTCTGCTGGAATCCAGTTTGTTCTCCCCCATGGTAACTTGTTGCTGATAGTGTCTGACCAACGGTCGGAAGTATATTGCGTAGACAACTGTTAATAAACACCCGTATCTTCTGGATGATGGCTTTCGTAGTTCTCCAGGTTTCCGCCCCATACAGTAAAACTGTCTTCACATTTGTATTGAAAATTGTGAATTTGATGTTGGTTGACAATTGTTTTGAGTTCAATATGTTCTTCAGTTGTAAATATGCTGCTCTTGTTTTACCTATTCGCGCCTGCACACCTGCATCAGATCCTAAATGTTCATCAATGATGCTGCCCAGGTGTGTAAAAGTTCTCACATTTTCCAAAGCATCTCCATCAAGTGTAATTCGATTGGTGCATGTTGTGTTGTATCGGAGAGTCTTGTTTTTCCCTCTGTTTATATTGAGGCTGCTACTAAATTAGTCGTCTTCTCCTGAATTTGTTGTTGCGTGTGTGATAGAAGAGCTATATCATCTTCGAATTCTACATCGTCCAGATGCATCCTAGCTATTCACTGCGTCCCGTGCTTTACTTCAGATGTTGACCTCTTCATCATGCAGTCGATCACCAGGAGAAAGAGAAAGGGTGAGAGTAAGCAACCTTGCCTGGTACTGGTCTATACCTCAAACGAGTCGGTGAGTTGTCCTCCATGTACGATTTTGCAGTTTCATCCATCAGAGGAATTTCGTATGATATTGACTATCTTCTCAGGTACGCCAAAGTTTCAAAGAAACCTCCCTAGTGATGTCCTTTCTACACTATCAAATGCTTCCTCGTAGTCTATGAAGTCGATGTAAAGTGACGAATTCCATTCAATTGATTGTCGCACAATGATCTGTACTGTTCTCATTCACCACAACATTATTCACTTATCTGACCTCATTGTCAATAGTCACTCAGAAAAAATAACAATCAGCTTTCTAAAAATTCATCCAAAACTGATGAATAATTCAATGAATGTGTTTATAAACAGATGATTTATAAAGAACGATTTGTGCATGATACTTGAATTTTAGCTTGCATTAAGTACTGACATTAGTTAGACAAGCATAGAAAACCAGATGGCTCTGTTATAGTGTTTCATTTTACCATGAGATTCATCAACAGAACGTGCTACAACATTGTGCTCCAGTTAGCCATGAGTGAAGCTGAAAACACAAACCGTTAAATGCCAACTCAATGATCTGAACTCAACAGGTTGGTTGAAATTTCAGGTCATGGATTTGAGTTCTTATACTATTGTGTTGTGCGTAGTTCAGTCCCTCCATACTAAAACGAACATACTATCAGTTAATCCTGAAGGCCAAAGGAGAAGAGGAAGATCAAAGAACACATTACGCCGAAAAATGGCACAGACATGAGAAGAATGAACAAAAGGTCGATAGAACTAGAAAGGAAAGTCAGGACAGAGTGGGTTGGAGAATGATGGTCGGCGGCCTATGCTCCATTGGGAGTAACAGGCTTAATTAAATGAGTAATTCCAGTTTTCCGATAACCTCATAGCTATTAAGGTTTATGAAGCGAACTAAGAAGCAATTCTCACCAATTATTATTAAGAGATCGTAACATTAGGAGGTAATAAAACAGTTCAATGTGACTATCTACAACTAAGATCTTTCTCCAAAATAATATATTGGACTAGGAAATCATGAATTCTAAATCCTCTGTCCAATACTTTAGACGAATTAGTAGCAGAATGTTCAGGATATTAAATAAAGTATGTATTAGCCATCTTATTAATTTTTGCAAGGATGTAAATTATAAGTTGTCTCATAATGTCGTAGACATTGTGGTAAGAATCATTGACAAAAGGAAGGTATATTACGTTGGAGAATTATTAAATAAACATTCAATTGACTAAGCAAAGATGGATAGTGGCTAGTAGTGGATTCCAGTTTGACGCGCATTTCGTCCTATTTGGGACTCATCAACTGGATGTATCTGCATCTCAGAGTTGATGTTCAATCTGGGACTCGAACCTAGTACCTTTCGCTTCAAACGCCATCGCGTTATCCACTCAGACTGACCAGTTGCAGTCCTAAACCTTAAAAGGAAGGTTCAAACAAACAATACTAAGTGAATTCATTTGACTGGTTCAAGTTGTTTTACAACTTATAACAAACATTATTCGTTTAATGATTCGAAAGTTGAAAGGTAGATTGACATACCGTTGCACATAAAATTCAATAGCTCATAGTAGCATCCTCTTTTATTTAAATAGGTAGTGCGTTAACTGTCATAGTAGCAGAAGTAGTAGTGATATGAAATGTGAAAGACACTGTAATTAAACAGATAAATGTTTCAGTACTCAAAATATGTCGATACATGCAAAAAGTAAATTTAAAATATTAATCACTAAGAGTTACGTAACATCAAAGCACAAGGCATGTCCATAATTGAAGTTGAAATACACTACTGATCAGAAGACTGTATAAAAATGGTTAGGTCGAATAAATGCGGTGACATTCGGTAAGAGAGTTTGTTAAATTTTAATCGACCAAGATGGAAAAGAAGGTATGATCAATTATCGATCAGAAAGTCTATGATTGTTTGTTAGATTCCTTACAGTATTTGTTATATGAAAGAGATGAGTTCAAACTGCTTTATTGATGGAATTTATCATATAACTCCATGTATTACATGGACATTACTCAATTCATGCAATTGGTTCCCTTTATCGTTCAGCTACTTTACAAAACGTTCCGAATGAAATGGTTATCAACGTATTCAACAAACAAAAGGTAGGGGTTGTATCTAATAGATAAAACTGTTTATTATATCGATGCATGATCCATCTGTTGGAAGCTAATAAAAGTATGAATTCACTTGGTATTGTTTGTTTAAATCTTCCCATTGATGTTTAGGATTGTATTTGATCAGTCTCTTATTGGCATATGTGCATACTGTGCTTATTGCCTCGATATAGCCTTAATCCATCTTTGCTTATAATAAAAGTATGTTTTGATACAAAACATTCACACCAATGTTAAAAGTTTAAGTAAATTTCTTATCAGTCAGTCAGTCAGCTACAACGTAGGACCAGGCACATATATGCATCGGTCCAAGTTGCCAGGAACACCGTGAACACCGAATTCATAGAAGTAGTTAATTTAGTGGTGGTAATATATAAAAGTAGGGTTTTATATAAGAATATAGTATAGGAAAGAAGACAGTTATGAAGCAATTTTATTCTCAAGGTTTAAGGGAACATAAAGAGTGTATACACCTACGCCATTGTGATCGATTCTGAGCCATGTCATATGGTAAATATCTATCAAACTATGTATTTTACAACTGAGGTGACTATTTGCACTACTAACTATGTAAAACCGATGAAAGGATACATAAAGATTGATTAACCATTAAATGGTAAAAAGAATAATTTCAATATTCACTAAATCTTGTACTGATAAAAGACGATTCAAGTCTTTGCATAACGCAACCATTAAACGAAACATTCGATCTGCACTCAGAAGGACTTGACACACATCACATTGATCATCAGTCACTCAGTCAGTCACGACGTAGAACTTCGTACGTGCATACGTACATTAGTTCCAGTTGCCATACCACATCAACACGGAGATGCAGTTGTCGATTCAAATCCCATAGTGGCAGAAGTAGTAAGAGTATAAGCCTTAATATGAAAGATTAGGGTTTGAAGATGTTATTCAAGAAGTATAATCCAATGAAATAAATTTGGAAAGAGAAAAAAGATAGAGACATGAAGGATTCAGAAGATTAGAATTTGGACATTGATCACTACCCCAGTGATCAATCAATTATGATTACATCGAACATTGTTTGCAGTCATACTTATTCAGTTAGAATCTTCGTTTCATGGTATGGAACTCACTCAAAATGGGAACACAAAATTGTTTCCAATGTAACTTCACCACATTCCACAACATACAAATAAGACCTATCTAGGTTACTGTGGGAGAGAACAAACCAGATTCCAGTGGAGGAAGAAATCAGGAAGAAGTGCTGGAAGTGGATTAGGCACACCTTGAGGAAATCAGCAAATTGCGTCACAAGACAAGCCCTCACATGGAATCCTGAAGGTCAAAGGAGAAGAGGAAGACCAAAGAACACATTACGCCGAGAAATAGAGACAGACATGAGAAGAATGAAGAAGAACTGGATAGAACTAGAAAAGGAAGCCCAGGACAGAGTGGGTTGGAGAAAGCTGGTCGGCGGCCAATGCTACATTGGGAGTACCAGGCGTAAGTAAGTAAGTAAGGTATTTCATACATCTTATGACATACACATACATGTCATTTAGAAAATATTATACTCATTATGAGTATCAATATTGTTTATATTAATGAAGTTTTATGTAACTTTAATCAAATAATTGAACAACATAATCGATTATAAGTATAGAAAACTTGAATTTTAAAGATTTCCCTATACTTATCAACTAAAAATGAAGCTAAAAACATTGAACAATCTACGCGCCGAATGGTGACACCAAGGCTTAAGGATGAATTACCTAAAATGACCGCCTCATTTTATATTTTAATCAGTTCGACTGCTCCTGTGGAGCAAGTTATATATTGGTCAAAGTTCTAGGAATTTACATTTTCGTGTTCGTGAACACCTCCTAGCGTGGTTAAGTAAAAGCTTGGTGAAGTAAGTAATCAGCTCAATATTAGCCCATTTAGTACAAACTGGTCATAGTGTTATTATAAATCAATCCTTTTCAATTATTTTTAGGGTCAGTAATTTTTTGCCAAAGCTTTTCAGTCTTAAAATCTTTCAAACAGCTGAGGAAGTAGCCGTCAGGATGAACAAACCGAAGATATGCGTACAGAATAAATATCTCCAACTCCTGCTGCTCCCTTGGCCAACCACAAGGCCAATTAATCAATAGTAATCTTAGCCATTGGATGATCTAATATGACGATTGTACTTACAACCTTTCGTAGTCAAATGTAATTGTCTCTTTTATCTTTAATCACAAATCTTTGTATTTTATTATAATTATTATTGGTTAAACATCACTATTAATCTCCCCTATACGTGATTCATTCACTTCGCATTGATCCTTCTTTATTACGTCTTACTAATTTTTTCACATAATTTAATCTTCCATTTGATCGAATCGCAATTGCGCTATCATATCTCTCTCACCCTATCTGATCCATATTTATATTCTGGTCACGGATCTTAAATTTTCACTTAACATATATACAGATTCAAGTGTTAACATTCTATATGAGAGTCATATCAACATTAACAATTTTATTCTATTTGATTTGACAATCCTAAATTTTATATAGTTGAGATAAGGAGTCAATTGAAGCTAGGCCACTATGAAAAACGTCGAAGCACTGAGAGGCCGTTTCGTCCTATTGTGGGACTCCTCAGCAGTGTGCATCCACGATCACGCCTCGGGAGATTCAAACCCAGGACGAACCAGGGTCGCGCAAGAGCACTTAACCGATAGACCACTGAAACGACCGGCATCCAACGGTGTTAATATCTAACTGTAACCAATCCACGAAGTTTCAGCAACCATTTACCAATTGTCTTCAGTGAATTGATATCTCATAACAGACCTAGTTAAAGTCACGATCTTAATTCAATAAAATTACTAAAATCTTCACAAAAACCTCCTTCTGATAATTCTAAATTTACATGCTTTCAATGATGTACTTTGCCTTTAAACTGGTCATTTTTTCCGGATTATTAATTTGGATATATATGAATTATAGAACCTGATGAGAATTTATCATTGAAAAGAATATTCTTCGTTCAATATATTAATCATTTAACAATCTAAAAATCAATAAAGATTGATTATAAAGGTTTCTTCCGAACAGTTGAAATCTTCGACTTCTTCCTTGTATCATACACATACTTCTTAATAAACGCAACAGGGTAAACGATCTCTATCAATGAGTTATTGATAAATTCCAACTCCTGACTTAAAGTATCTATTGAATTTATCAATAACTTACTGACAGAGATCGGTTACCTTGTTGCGTTCATTAAGAAGTAAATAAAAGATTGATTGAATAAACAGATCACTAAGTAACATAGAGATTTTGTTTCTATGCTCAATAAAATCAACAAAAACACACAAAAAAATCCATACTTACTAAAATGAAAAAAAAATATTTTTCTTCATTGATAAACCTGTTTGTCATATTCATTACTGTTTTTTTCTATTTATAGTCTATCCATTAAAGTATATCTTTTATGGATTGTATATTAAAACGATAGTGCAATATTCGATATTGTTTTAATTTGAATAGGGAAAATCGTTAGCAACAATAAAATGTATCATCATCATAGAAACAATAACTTTTCAATTTTCCCATAGATACAAGAAAAATCACTGGTTATTACCTGTTTCTATTTGTATCTATACACGTGTCTATGAACCGTATGAGTTTATTATTATTATGATGATGATAAGAACCAATAGGAATGAAGTATTGATTATAGTGTGATTATTTGGTTGATTAAAGTTATATCCTATAATAAATCAGGATTAGTATACTGAACAGTTTAATCAATGAAATAGGATCTCTCTAAATGATGATGAATCTCTTAACAATCCTAATTTGAAAAAAAAAATTAAATTAAAATCAATAAATATTTGGAGTAATGTCAATAGAGATATTTGTAGCCTCTGATTAACTTCCTTAAGCCTGTTACTCACAGTCGAGCATAGGTCGCCGACTAGCCTTCTCCAACCCAATCTGTTATAAGTCTTCCTTTCCAGTTCTATCCTAATTTTGTTCATTCTTCTCATATCTGTCTCCATTTCTCGGCGTAATGTGTTCTTTGATCTTACTTTTTTCCTTTGGCTTTTATGATCCATTCGATTAGCAGGAGAAAGAGAAAGGGTGAAAGTCTGATTAACTATAAGTTTATAATTACTCGACAATTGAACTTGGTAAAATACAGAGTTTCTTTTTTTTGTTTTTGCAGAGATACTAAATTCAGATCAAATATTCGTTACACATAAGTGAATCCATAAGAAGCTTAATAACTTGATGCTCTATGAACATTTATCACTTATAGTTGAAAGCATGAGTCAATTGAAGCTAGACCACCATGGAAAACCTGGAAACACTGGACATGCTTTCAACTATGAAACATACTAAATCTCCACAAAACCCCTTCTGATAATTTATCACTTAACCGAAAACACACTCATCATTTAAAGTTGTTAACAAGATAAATAGATAATTAACTAAGGTAGTAGGCTTTCTTGTTCTTTAAATCATTAAAGTTTTTAGTATGTAATCACAATTGATTGATCACTAGGTGGTAATCAATGTCATGTGTGTCAAATCCTACTTAGAGTTGATCGAATACTATCGATCAAGTTGCGTGCACTATGTTGAGATAAGATAGTGGTTGGAGGTGGTCAGCAGGAAACCCTGGACCTGGATGCACGCAGTGTCGAGCCACCTAGACTAGTGGGCACATTGCGACTTGATCGATAGCATTCGATTAGCACTAACAAGGACTTGACACGCATAACATCGATCACCACCCAATGATCAATCAATTGTGATTACATCTCAGTCCTACAGGAGGTCGGTCGCTGACCGAATAGCTTTTAGTATCTATTTATACAAACTCAAACTATATTTACAACAGTAACTCATTCGATTTCTTCTTCTTCTTCCTTGTTCGTAATTGCTTATTTTCAAAGTAGTCAATCTATCTAGCTGAATCTGATGACAATTTTAATAAACATGATCTCTCAACAAATGAATTTTCTGTCTCTGTAAATTCAGTGACTATTGTGATTTTATTAAAATCCTGTTTTTTTGTTTCTATCCTGAATAATTTATTGTTATTTTTAGCAACCACATTGTAGTGATTGTTGTTGTGGCAAAACGTCTACATTGACGATTGCACAGATTTGATGATGAGAGAAAGCTTTGCTGAATGTAGCTGTACCTAAAGATCTATCTCAAGTTTCTAAAAAAATCACTGTAAGATGTACTTCCATAGTTGAAATCATGAACCATTTGAAGTTGGACCACCATGGAAAACCTAAAATTGCTTGACAGCCGTTTCGTCCTATTGTGGGATTCCTCAGCAGTGCGCGTCCACGATCCCGCCTCGTGAGATTCTTACCTAGAACCTACCAGCCAGAGCACTTAACCCCTTATGAAAATGTATTTTCACTACTTTCTGTCACTTGATGAAATATAAAATACAATTTGTACATTATAGTAAAATAATACTCTATTCTCTCAAAATTTAACTATTTAAACTTCAAACTTAACTACAGAGATTTGTAGATTAAACGCGTTTGGGAGCATATGAATTAGCCTTAGAAATGAAAGACAAAGACATCTCTTTATTGATGGTGATCTCTGTTGACAGTCTAATTGGTTGACAAAAGGTTATCAGGTACTGTAAAGTTTTAGGAACGTTTACATTCACGTATGGAACACAGAACCAAAAATATTTTAGACACCGTTAAAACTCTTTATCCCGATAATGGAACAAAAACAAGTGTTTATTAAAACAAGAAATATGAACTAAAATAAGCATGACTATCAGACAAATCTACAGTGGGAAAGCAGCAGAACATACAAGCTGGAGCACTGAAGTCATACATAGAAGTAACTGCAAACATGCTTCACGTTATATTCAGGAAGATTTGGGAGGAAGAACAAGCTCTGGAGAGTGATCATGGGTCGATTAAATCATTACTATGAGAATCATTATTGAACATTCTACCGAATGGAATTCATTGGCACATATATGATTACTTGATCGTTAGAAATCATTCGACAGGTTGAATGGGAGAGTCTTTTGAAATCTTCGACACTGCGTTGTACGTAGGAAAATTATCAACGTCTAAATGAACTCCTATAGCAAACTGAACTTCAAAGTCACGCATGGATGCAGCTCACTTATAAATTTTAAGTCAAGTCTGCTATCCAACAAAACTGCCTACTCTCACCTTTTCTCTTTCTTGTAGTTTTTTCCTAGATTATGGAGACTTTCGCATATCACGAGAGATGGGAGTGCAGTGGACAGCTTGAATGCAACTAGACGATTTGTACTTCACAGATGACCTGTCCCTTCTATCCTATACACACGAACAAATGCAGGTTATGACAATTAGTGTAGCAGCAGCCTCTAGATCAGTAGGCTTCAACATGCACAAGGGAAAAAGCAACATCCTCAAATACAACACGAAAAACACCAACCCAATCACACTTGATGGAAAAGCTCTGGAAGAGGTAAAAATCTTTAAATACTTGGGCAGTATCACTGATATACTAAGAGGATCTGATACAGAAGTAAAGGCACGAACTAGCAAGACAATAGTAGCCTTCTTACAATTGAAGAACACTCGGAATCGAAAAAATAATTAAAGAACAGTGACGTTAAAACAGTACATTCTTTTCGTCGCATATTGCCAACAACCAAGATATCTCTGATTTGGCCTTTTGTAACCTTTCCAACGAAAGGTTGTACACTTTTCAGAAACTCATTTTATTAAGACGTGCGATTAATAGCTATAATGATGTGTTAAAACAAGCGGAGTCAGATAACTTGTTGAAATATCTAGATGTAAGGAACAAGTAGACCCGATGTTCAAGAACGCCGTTATAATTTCTGTTTGAATATAATTAGTTATCAGTCTGGTTCTGCCTTAGTTACGGAACTCTTTGCTTATCTTTCTCGGGTATGAATATTACCCTTCTGATTTTTTTTTGAGTTCATGTCCATTTCTTTATTTTAAATGCTTAAATTCAACCTACCGCATTTCATAGAATTGATTCCTCGATCACTATTAATTTACATATTCAAAAAATTAACTAAATATTCACTAATTTCAAGTTCCGCTGTGGTGTGGTCTACTCATATCCATATAAGTAGTATATGGTGTGAGTCAGACATATAATGTATTTTGGCAGAAGACCGATGAGTAAAGAACTGAAATGAAGTGCAATCGTTTGGAAAATGCATGAGCAATGGAATAAGAGAAGAAACAGTGAAGATTGAAACAATTGGTTGTTAATTTGCAAATTGACTGTTCATTGTTTGGTTATCAGAATTTACTGAGATAGTCTGTAACTTTTGCTTAAATACATTCGATTGTCCCCAGTCATGTTCTGTTCACTACACCGCTATCTTCTATTATACTATCCTGTTTTCGATACTACATGAGTCCATTGATCCACCCTTGAAAAATAATCCCCAGATATCTAGACGCAGTAACTAAGTAGGTAACACTATGTAGTTTGAGTCCTCGAGTGAGTACTAACTTTGCAACGCAGGTACATCCAGCTGACGTAGCCAGAAATAGGATGAAACCTGCGCCCTGGATTTCATTACTAGCTACCATCCATCTCTGTTTATAATGCTTGTATCTTAGCGTCAACATCAAGGCGATCCATACAGGCTACGTATATACTAATCAGAAAGTGATCAAATCCAGTGTTAAACTTCAATGGGAAGATTCAAACAACCAATATTAATGAACTGAAATGCTAAAAGGCTTTAATAGTAGCTAATTAATAGTTTTAAAAATAACTGATAAGGAGTAGAAATGATTTTTGAAAACCAGTTATTATGAAAGATGAGTATACCGTCTTTAGATGTATAGATTAGTCTTGAACTGATGGATAACAATAGCCTCTGTTGTACATAAGTTCTTCAAGTGCAACCCACATGAAACGACTATTCTAACTGTATGTATGATTTCGAGGAAGGTTAGTGAGGAAACAGATAGACCAGAACAGACTAGATGCACGAAAATTGAGCTTTTGATTGACTTCTGTAATCCTATATTATGCCAGAAAGTGACTGGCTTCAAGAGGTATTGCCTGGAGTTCTAGTGGGAAGTCGTGACCAGTGGAGTTCAAACGGGTTAGTTGTGAGACAGATCCTCACTGAAGACAATGGTTACAGTAAATTAATTGAAATTAGATATTAACACCGTTGAATGCCACCCTAGATGTCTAGAGGTTAGGCGTCCGCATGCGGAACCGAACGTCCTGGGTTCGAATCCCGCGAATAAGATAGTGGATATGCACTGATAAGAGCAAAACAGCCGCGGAGTGCCTCCAGGTTTTCCATGATGATCCACTTCGAAGTGACTCGAGAATTCATGTACTAAACTGGTATAATTTCCACGGAAACCCTTTCTGATTAGTATATATCTATTTAGTGCACTGTATTTAGGATGAATTTCAATATTAATTCTCGTACATATAGTTTCTATCACTGCATAGATTATTCATCTTTGTAATATCTTTATGTTAGCGTTTTTAAGAGAGTTGGTTTTATACGAGATAGGGTCGCTAACCCCATGCCCAACCCTACTACTTTACCCGGGCTTGGGACCAGCAGTAGCCCCTACAGGAGCTACAGACGGGCAGCATCATTG